GATAGGTCTGGGTGTTGGAGACATTCTAATTTTCTGCTTTTTTCATCTTTCAACTTGAGAGTCTTCATTCCATATTTGCAATTCTTTAAGGAATAATATCAACTGTAATTTCTATTGGATGCTTTGCTTAAGAAGAACCATGGCTAAATTTTCAGAACCTTTATTGTGTCCAAAGTGAATATATTTAAAAGTGCGCACTGTGAATTATAAGCTTGCTGCTATTTGCATCTTGCTTGGCAGCCACATAATGTGTTTTCGATTAACCTTTGTTAAATGCGCTAGGTATGAGGCTGTACAATGATTGATGTTGTATTTGAAATCAATGAACTAATCATTTCTTATTCCAAAGAATAGTTTTGTTTTTAGATGGAGTGACATGTCTATATTTACATACGTCATTAGTATTTTATGACCGGACTCACTAGTCAAGTATGTTAATTAAAGGATGAGCCTTGGGTTGAAGGAGTGAGGGGTATATCCAGTTACATTGTTGACTGATATTTAAAGAAAGCTTTCTAGATTAGAAATTTTACATTCTAAATTAAAATGTAACCATTAAGAACTTACACTAACCATTAAGATCACGTAGGATCTTATATCTTTTTATCAAAATAGGTTCTTTTAGACGTAATGTAAATTTAGTCAAATATACATTAAAATATGTGTAATTGAATGTGAGATAAACCATTTGAGGCTGGGACAGAGAACTGTTTTTAATTTTCCGTTCAGAAGAAATTGTTCTCTAATAAAGGAAGTAGAGAAATCTATTGTAGATCAATTTCTTAGGCGAAAGGAGAAGATTAGGAATTAAATTTTCAGAACCATTTTATCTCCTTCAACCTGCCCTCATCGCCCTTAACTCACCACCACAACCACGTACTTCTTGATGTTTTAAAAAGACAAAATTATAGTATAACACATAAAAAAATAACTTTTTCAAGATTGCTAGACTGTATAATGTAAACTTTGATGTGATAACTTCCGTTTAGTCACATGACTTCTCAAAGCTTAATTTCCAAAATAATTTGCTTTCCATTGTTTTGTCAGAACATAGCTTTCTAAGTCAGAGCTACCCAAGTGCTTCTATCTGGAACAGAACTATTCCCTATAGACCAATAAACATCTATGCACAATTCCATACATCTGAGACATTTCTCCAACTAGTGGTTTCAGCTAAATTAGCAACTTTGTACATTTACCTTAATAGGAAACATTCTAATTAATTGTACGATTTAAGGGACTAGGTGTTTGCCACTGTGCATGAAATACTTCTTTTTCTCCTAGAGTAATAAAATTCCAGTTCTGAAGCCATGTATATATAAAATAAATTTCAAGTATTTGCTAGTTCCAATAAAATATTCTGAATGTATTGTTTCCTTTGGTGATACTTTGTTATAAAATTTATCATGTTGAAATGTTTGAAATATGTCTCTGCAGTGCTTATTTTACATGCTTGGTCTTTCATCACAGTACTTAAACTTTTCTCAATATGAAAATCTCATTCAGGGCACTGTGCAGAGTGGGCGTCATCCTAACAAATTGATTTGGGAGGTCCATACACCATGCGTAATGATGATATATGCTCAAAACATGGAAGTTTTAAGGGGAAGTTTCTTTAAGATTACTGTTTAAGTCTTTCACACTTGCATTAAAACATTTTCCTACTAAAGAAGAGATAGAGGAAAGATATGCATACTTTTCCATACTTGGGAAGACAGTACCATTTACATATTTATGAGTGTTTCACAAAGATGCATGCTGTGCAATTCTCTCTCTCATTTGCAGTTTTCTTATTTGTATCATAACATTGTTATTCAGGTTGGGGTACAGTTTTACTTTCTAAAATGAAAACACCATACTGCTTTAGTTTTTTATGTTTTTTAGAGCTTAGATACTTGGCCTCTTTGAGATGTTTTACAATAACTTTCCTTTCCCTTTTTATTTTATAGCTTTGAAGAAAGATGACACCACCTTTGATGAGGTAGGTTAAATGTCTTTATCTAATGTTAGATGTATTTAATTACTGCCAGGTAAAGTCAGTAGGTGCCAACTTCACACTTAGAAACAGAAAAAAAAAAAGCCTTAAAGAGGTGACATCTCTTTAGTTACATTATATTATTTTCCGATTTTAAATAATCATTCAACTGAATTTCGGTGGCCATCAACAGAAATAGGTCTTTTTAAATTAACAAACAAAAAACACCTATAGGCCTTTGTGTTGTGTTCTTGATGGTGGCAGTGCTGGCGCAGCCCAGTGTGAGGTGCGTGTTCGTAAGTGGGGAATTCCAGGTCCCTTGCAGCCCTCCTCCGAATTAGGGTGTGATGAGATGTTGACGCCACATATCGTCTGTCAGACTCCCAAAGGAGGAGCTGACTTTTCCTGTTCTAGTTTTCCTATTCTTTGTATATCAGATCTGTCTTTATCTAGTTGCTGCAAAGTAGCAAAAAGCCTGTTCAAGTGAGGCAGAGGGATCATATGTAATTAATAGCATTCTCAATGTGATTTTTCAATTGTACTCTTTTCTGAGTTTTTTTTGTGTATCAGTGGAAATCACCAGAGAAGAAATATGTTTACAAAATGTTCTCAGGAGCGTCGTAGAGTGGTATTTCATTGTCACCATCTAAAGCCACAGTAATTGATCTGTGTTGTAAACTGGGCCACATGTGTGTATTTATCGCATGTTTACATATGAACACAGATGTGTCTACACGATGTGTTTATCCTGCAGCCTAATGAAAGCATACATTAGTTTGGTGTGGTTGTTTGATTTAACAGTTGCAATATGAAATATGCTACCTGTCCTCTCTCTGCTATAGTGCTTCAGAGAGGAAAGCACGTTCGTGCTCATGGAAAGTTCCCTTGGCCATGTGGCTGGCTGCGGTGCAGGGAAGGACCACTCAGGGAGAACCTGCTCCAGACTGGGATTTCTGGATGAGGCCAGTGTCATTTAGCTCTCACGGTCTGCTGCTTCCTCTGCTGCAACCGCGCTTTTTCTTTTTTCTTTTTTTTTTTCCTGGGGCCAGCTCTGCAAAGCTATATGTCCCTGGACTCCAAAGCAACTTCCCCTGCCAGCATTCCTGAAACATCCTATAAAACTTAGTTATTCTAGACCTGAAGCAATAGGGGAATCTCTTTCCCCCTATCTGTAGTAGGTAATAATGATGTTCTTTTCTAAACTTGTATTTCTGGAATTTTAACAGTGTTACTGAGGTATTTTTAGGAAAGTATTTTCTTTCTTTTCAGAAAAAATCAATGTGAGAATATTGAGCACTTTTTCTCTATTTATAAAGAAAAGTCTCCCCTATAATTATAGAAGTAATTTAAGCTTACATAAAAAAGAAAAATAAGGAAAAGGAGAAAGAAAAGTCTCCCAAATCCTGTTATCCAGCTACAACCACTGTTGAAAGTTCTTCTGCTTCTTTTCTCATGTTACAAAACAAAAACAAAAACCACAACCCATACATTATATCATGCCTTTTTTTCTTTTAATGTATAACAAATACGATATTTTCCCATGTTTTTTTAAAATAATTTTTTTATTTTTCAATCACAGGTGATATTTTCCCATGTTTTTACAGATGACTTCTAATCATTATTAGGAATGTGAAAACCTTATTTATTCTATCATGAGGCTGTGACATTCGCTTTAAAAAAAAATAGGCGTCTGGAGCCTCTGTGAAAGTTAAGGATGTTTATATCAAATCTGTAACTGTCCCGAAACCTCTGCACAGTCAGTCTGGATTTTGTAATCTGGGACAGAATTATCCCTAACTTTTACAAAGTGTTTTCCTTCCTTTGCACCACGTGAGATTGGTCAGATATCTCAAGTCAGTAAATCACACAATCCTACATTTGGAAGAGACATTGAAGCTCCTGTGCTCACTTCATCATTTCACAGATGAAGAAATGGAGGTTCAGAGGGCCCGGGTAGTTTCCATATAATAGGAGGAAGACCCAGGTTCCGGAGCCTGGGAGAAAGAAGTAGTAGGAAAGGCATGCCTGGGTGCAAGCGAACCCTAACTCAGCCACCCTCTCAAGTCTGACTCTTTTCAAAATTGAGAATTAGGGCTGTGAGGAGAGATACTTTCATATATTCCTCTAAAATTTCAATAAGCCTTCATGTGATTTGCATATTAATTAAAACTGTGAAAATATTGTCTAAAACCTACCATGTTTTTAGATTCCTTAGGAGGATGACTGCATTCAGGTTCGCAATCCTTTGGGTGTCTTGCACATGGTTAACATTCAACAAGGTTCAATGAATATGAGTAAATACCTGTTGCAAATAGCTTTGAATGTCAGACAATGTGGATTCTCACCGGCCAGTTCTAGCTATTTGGGCAAATCATTTAATTTACCCAGGGCTCAATTTCTCATTTGTAAAACTAGTCAGTTAGACTATGATCTTCAAGTTGCTTTCTATGTTTAAATCTAGGATAGAATCCTGCATAACAATAACATAAAATTATAATTTTACCAAGATCAGAAAAGAGCACCCGAGCTATGATTATATAACAGGAAGTCACTGATTTCTAAGATCGTCTTCAGATTTTAGTGGTAGAAGCTTTCTTGAACTAGTTTTGTGGTCTTCTTGATGTTGGGAGAATTCTACGGTGTGTCGGAATTCAATTAATATTTGAATCTTGAAACCCAGGGGGCAGGGTCAGCTTCTTAGATAGGCATCAAGGTGTGGCAACTTTTTTGATATTTATGAGCTGGAGGGCTCCTTATCTCGATGAATGGCTTCCTCCAGAGTGCCTGGAGCTGGAGTTCAGTGGCTGTTCTCTAATTTATATTGGGAATTTCTCTAGGGTTTGTATAAATGTTTGATCTTGAACAGAGGAGAAAAAGAAATATGGACCCATTTGAAAAATGTATTTATTTATTTGTTCTTAAGTAGGCTGCAATACCACGACTGCTGATTTTCGTAACCAACCTGGAATTATTCAGGAACTGCCCACTAATGCTTGTTGTAGAGAGAAGATGAAGCACTTTGGAAATTAAGTATTGAGGGCTTCATATATTTACAATGATAGGCAGTTTTGTTGGAATAGGGAATTTTGGTGAAGCCATCATATTTGGAAAGAGAACACTCTACAGATGATCATTTTGCCCTTAATTCATTTTGTATCTGGGCCCTCATTCAAATATGAAGCATTTTATGTTTTGTGGGTTTAATCTACACCTTTGTTATGGATAAACTAATCATTTATAAGAATGTCTCAAATAAAATTTATAGGTTTTAATTTGTCTTTTG